ACTGGTAAATAAATTGTCCCTAGAGAGTGAATGGTTGTTTGTCTCGTTTGTCTCTATGTGTCCCTGTGATGGACTGGAGACCTGTCCAGGGCGTCCCCCGCCTCTGGCACAGCCAAGGCTGGACATGGGTACCAGTGACCTACGTGACCTGAAAAGGAAGAAACAGGTAGATGGACAGATGAATAAACCGAAGTGCCCGGACATTGTCTGCAAACACAGCGAGGCTGCAGCCGCGTTTCAAACCTCTAACTTTTTCTTGCTGAGATGAACCACTGATCCACTGTTCTGCCACATCTCCTATGTAATGTTCCCGGTGAAATAAATGTTCAATCAGTCGTGCATGCTCCAGAACTGTGAGAAGAACCTCAAGTCCTTGGAGAAAACTGCAGGGAGAACCTGAAGAGCAGACAGAATGAGCTCAGAGGACTTTTGCTCCCAGGACCTTCTCGTTGAGGTGACAAGACTAACTGCTTCTGGAACGGTGCCACCTTTTTGTCTCAACCCCACGCCTTAATATTTTGTGTCCAAGTAATAAATGTTTTCTACCGTTGTCATCAGGCGAGGTTTGCACGCTGATTTAACTCTTACTTTTCGTTCAAACAGGGCACAGTGTAATATTCGTATAACTTTATTACCGGTAATCTTTAAAATACATTAAAATGTCATTTTATTTATTGTCATTCTTTACGTTGCATGAAAGAATGACGATACACAGTTTTCCTCAGACTGACAAACAGGAGGTTTCAAACAGCATTTCATTTTTAAATGTATAGAAGCATGTTCTTTATTACCAATTATATTATATTATTATATAATTATTAACAAAAATATTACCAATGATCAATGTGATAATTTGATTAAATTCATGATTCAGTCTCTATTGGGTGTTCAAAAGTTTTAAATGTTGATTCATGAGCAAAACAGGACAAAGAATCATTGAACTCTGTTCAAACTTTTTGAGATTATATTTAAAGAACATGAAAGAATTTATGAAAAAAACAATACGGAGACATTTAAAAGCCAAAGCTTTACTTTTAAAGCTTCAAATGTTCTCAGTGCAATAACTGTTTAATTATACAACCATATAAAAAAAAATCGACATTTTGTCCACATTAATAGAGACGCTCATAAATACAGTAAGAGGTAATGTTGAGCCATGTGAATGTTTGAAGTGAAAAGACAGTGCTGTGCGTCAGCTGAGTCAGACTCAAAGGTTTTAACGAGAGCGGCTCTTTAAACGCAGCTAAACCTGCTGGCATCAATTTTACTGGTGCAACCTGTATGTTGACACGGTAAACAAAGTTCAGCAAAATCTGCAGTACAGTATTTTTGTTTTATTTTATTCAGAATAAAATTGTTGCACATAATGAGCATAACTCAAATGATTTACCAGACGCACATTGTTCATGAGTGAAATGGATCCTAATGAACGTCTCCGTGACAGAGTTTGAAACATGCAGTGTCTGCTCCACACCTTCAAGCCGTCATATTCTTGTCCAGTCAGCTCTTTTCATAAACAAATCAACTAACAGTAAAAAAAAAAGGGGGTAAAGCTCGTATTTAAATTTACTGTATTGGTGTCTGTTTATAGTATTACAATTTTTTATTTATTTTATTTCGGCTGCTTCCTTCTTCAGGGGTTGCCACAGCAAATAAGATGCACAAAGACTTGGTGATTGTTTTTATACTGGATGTCCTTCCTGACACGTCCACAGACCCCTGAGCTACCACAGCCCTCTGTGTGGAGCAGAGAGCTGCTATCTAGGGCGCCTGGGGGAGCAGATGGTGGGGGTTCAGGGCCTTGCTCAAGGGCTCAGAGTGGGGAAAATGATTGTGGAGGCAGGTGTGTTATGGGGTGCCGTTTGTGAAGTTACACAGTCAAAAATTAACAGCAATATATTGGGTTATGCCTTTCATAAGAAACAATAGTTGTTTTTTTCAAAGTCAAAATTTCACCATGTTATTAATACATTTATAAATGTCATAGTTCCAAATTAAATATTTAATTTACGAGCTAAATATTTAGTTTACAAACAAAATACTTAACTTGCAAGTTAAATATTTAGTTAGCAAGCTAAATATTTAGCTCTACAATAAACATTTAGTTTACAAACTAAATGTTTATGTCCATGCTAAATGTTAAATTTACAAAATAAATAGTTAACTTGCAAGTTAAGTATTTAGCTAGCAAACTAAATATTTGGTCTGACCTAATTATTTAGTTAGCAAATTAATTGGGGGGAGTGTTGGCGCAGAGGTTAGAGAGGTGGGCTTGTGATCCGAAGATCGCCGGTTCACGCCCCGGCCCCGACAACATCAAAATTGTGGGTGGGGTAGGTGAAACACCCACACTTGCCCCCACCCTCATTCGCCCCACTCTGGGCCCATGAGCAAGGCCCTTAACCCCCACCATGTGCTCCCTAAACAGGTCTCTCTTGAAAATGAGTTCTCGTGGCTCAATGAGACTAACCTGTATAAATAAAGACTAAATGAAAAAAAAAAAAAAAAAAAAAAAAAGGCAAATTAAACATTTATTTTGGGAATTAAAATGTTTAGTTTGGAAAATAAATATTTAGGTCCAAGCTAAATATTTAGTTAGCAAATCAAATATTTATTTTGGAATATAAATGTTTAGTTTGGAAAATAAATTTTTAGGTCTGAGATAAATATTTAGTTAGCAATTTAAATATTTAGTTTAGAAATTAAATGTTTAGCTTAGAAATTACATGTTTAGTTTAGAAATTAAATATTTAGCTTGGACAATAAATATTTAGTTTGGAAATTAAATATTTCGTTTTCAAAATAAATATTTAGCCTGGAAATTAATATATAATTTACACCTAGATATTTAGTTTACAAACTAAATATTTAACTAATATTTAGTTTGTAAATTAAACATTTAGCTTGGCCATAAACATTTAGCTTGTTAACTAAATGTTTAGCTTGCTAAATAAATATTTAACTTGCATGTTAAGTATTTAGTTTGTAAACAAAATATTTAGTTTGTAAATTAAACATTTAGTTAGTGAACTATGACATTTATAAATGTATGAATAACATGGTGAAAATATGACTTTGAAAAAAAACACACATTTTTTTTTGTTATGAAAGGCTAAATAAACCAAAATATTGCTGTTAATTTTTGACTGTGTAACTTTAATACGCACCCCATAGTGGGTGTTTCACATTTCCAACCCACATTTTGAGGCTGTTGGTACGGGGAGTCGAGCTGGCGACCTTCTGATCACAGGCCCATCTTCTCTAGCCTCTGTGCCACCACTCCCCCTCATTCATAACTTTACAAATAGTCTAAAAAAATAAAATAAAATGGAGCACTGAGAAATATTGTGACTATGAACTTTGTGATTTGACAGTTTAAATTGATATTTTTTCAAGTACTTAGTCATGAAAACTCCTAAATACAACAAAAGAGCTATACATTATTCCATTAAACAGCAACGTAAGACCCAAGTAGCACACACAGATTACTGACATAGTACATAACAGTTGTTACAAATTACTGTGGTGTGATATGGTTAAGTGGTGTTTAGGTATTGTTCTGTAAAATAAAGTGAAGATGTAAAAGAAGATAAACTGTTTTTCATTCAGACAAAAGTTTCTGGAGCTTCTTCAGCGAGCTTTAAGAAGCTGTAGATTCCCTTTGAGTGATTGATACGATTAAAGTGCATCCATTTTTAATGAATATTTCAAACGTTTTCAAGTGAGGTCATCTAAAAATGTTGTGAACAATAAATATCTTGCCTGTTGTAGATGATGTTTTGAACCACCAGACTGACAAGCTAACAACTAGTCAGACTAGCTGCTCTATGCTCATAAAAACAAAGTCCACTTCCCATAGAGCGTGGTGGGACATCTCACCCTTTCACACACATTTGTGTCTGTGTTTGTGAACGGCAAGGCAAGTGCTGTTAACTGTGCCAAGTCAAGTGGCGTAGCGAGTAACATGCTGCTGATTGTACTCTGCTCTGACGGCACCTCGTATGTATCATTTCAGGATGAATCACATGCACATTTTTATAATCTGATAAACATGGAAACCTTTGTTGTACAGCTGTGGCTAAAATGGTTTATATTCTCTAAAGTCAGAGGGTATCATGGCTACACTTCTGCTGCTCTGTTTTGTCCTTGTCCACATTGGTAATGTAACACCTTGACTTTTACCTTAGACAAGCAGATGCATACATTATTCAAGTTGCAGCTGAAAATACGAGCTTTTTTCTTGATATTTCGTTTGTCTACCATAAACCAAACTTATACAAGTGCAATCTTCACGCCTGTTCTGTGCTCTACTCTCATGGGTTGTACAAAAACACTTCTTGGTGTGTGTAGAGGGCATGGGGGGTTCTAAAACCATATTCTCATGTACTGCTATGACTTTTTGAGATTGTAGTTGTGTTAGGACTGCAGAGATCCACTTTGGTCTTAGCTCACCTTTACTAGCTGCTAGTTAATCTACCGGTAGTCTGAGGTTGTTCAAAGAGCTATCTACGACAAGTAAGATATTTATTGTTCATTACTACTACAGAGAATCTCACTTCAAAACACCCGGACTATCCTTTAAAACATCAGTAGTTCCATTGATCCACACTGTGTATAGGTTGTGTAACGTGCTTTTTTATGTCTTATTAGCAAAATGCAAGTGGATTTATTTATCCTTTAGACTAAAGCTTTGTGTTTGCAGCATGAAAAAATATTGAAAAAATAGTGTTTAAATGTACATAAACAATATTTGAAGCATTTCAAGAAGTCACTGGAAAATCCTTCACTTTGACCTGAATCTGCATCTTGGTATAACTGGTTTCATTCTGCTGAGCTCAGCCTGGTTTGTGGTGCATATTTATCTGTAACCAGTAAGTCTCACTATTAGACGTTATCGTCTAACCTGTAGTTTTACACCTACACTGTAAAATTCAAAAACCTCTTCTCACTTTCAAGCTAAAACGTGCCAACCACTTCTCTGAACAGGCTTATTTAGAGGTTCAGCTCGGTAGTAAGTTGGGATGACTTTGGGTGATGGTGAACGTGCGTCCAGTCCTAAAATAGTTCTCTATTTCCTCCAGCGAGCGGTTGCGAGTCTCTGGGATGCACACAGCGTTGAAGAGCAGGCAGAAGACGCACACGATGGTGAAGATCAGGTAGGGGGCGTACAGGCCGTAGCTCTCCACCAGGTCAGTGAAGATGTATGTGAGGAAGAAGGCCGTCAACCAGCTGACGGTGACGCACAGACCTGAAGCCACGCCCCTAGCAACCAGCGGCAGCACCTCTGACATCAGCAGCCATGTGATGGGACCCCATCCCATCGCGTAACCTACGAGACAGTCAACAATGTGATGACAAAGCTCATATGACAGTGGTGTTTTTGTGATTCTCGTCACTGAACTGGGTGTGAACACTCATGAACCAGTTTCACCAGACAGGGTTTAATGTGTTTGAAGATGTGGACGTTGATGTATTAACTGAGGACATGACTGAAGGGGGTGGAGATGAACTGTCCCTGAAATATTGGGATTAAATACTGACATGTTTTTGAAGCCTACGTTAAATAAACCGGTGGGAATGATTGTGATGGATGTGTACTTATAAGTGAAGTACTCGAGTACTGTTACCTCATTACAGTGTGTATGGCCCTTGCCATGAGTTTCTTAAGCTATCTTAAATGATTCTAATAAAAAATGTTAATATATTGATGAAGTGACTGATCTAAACAGCTTCAACATTTCTTTTTAATAAGTTTAGCTCAAATGATATTATTTTCACTTTACTTCCTGTTTACTGTTATTGTGACAAAGCAAGCATGATTCATTTAGCATGAGCTACTTTCTGATTACACTACAGTGTGAATGCTGAGTGCTTAACATTTGCTGAAATTTGCTGAAACTGAGTTGCTGAAGCTAAAAGAAGCAGAAGACGAGCTAAAACGAGAAGACACTAGCTTAAAACTAAATTAAGAAAATTGTTAGCTAAAAGCCAAAAGAACTCTAATCCTAAACACAAGCTAAAAGCTAAAAGTAGCAAAATACACCGTATTATATTACATTATTATTGTTTAGTCTATATCTTAGATCCTTGTTTAATGTTTCTTTTTTTTATACTTTATATTTTTCCTATTTTTGGGTGTAAATGGGACCTTGAGTATACAATTTTGTTCCACCCCAGGTACCACATGTGATGCAAATGACAATAAAGAACTTTAAAGCTTGAAAAGCCTAGCTAAAAGAGAAAAGTAGCAGAATGGTAGTTAAAAATATTAAAATTGCAAAAGGGTAGCTAAATGTAGCAGAAAAGTTAAAAGTTGCAAAATGGTAATTGAACGCTAAACGTAGCATAAGGGTAGATAAAACTAAAATGAACAGAAAGATAGACAACATTTAAAAGTTGTGAAAGGTTGATGAATTTTAAGTAGCAGAATGGCAGCTAAAACCAAAAGTATCTTAAGAAGCTAAGTTTGCTGAACCAGCAGTGACACAGTAACTCTGACGGCCTTTTTAACCATAAGAGTGACAGCTGCTAACCTTGGCCTGACAGATTTACTTTCACCTTTGTGCTCTGAAATCTTTAATCTTTTGATCATTAAGATATAGTCATCTGTTTTCATGGACTCATGTGATGTTGTACAAACCAGTGGACTTGCTGTTTTGGAGCACAATGTGCTCTGGACCGGACAAGCCACGATCTAAACTAATATGGGTTTTGGATCAGTTTAAACTACAATGTAGAGCCACACGTGATAGCTAAAAATAAATGTGCATCGAAATGAAGATGGATGGATTCTTAGTTAACAAAAACCTACTAATTTACCAAATATGAACACCACAGTGCTGATGATGGGGAGCAGGCTCACAGCCGCTTGCTGACTGGTCTGCAACATGCTGCCCGAGCTGTAGTCCAGAGCGGTGAGGTTATGAGGAGCTGGACCTGGAGGGCAGGGGGTGGTGTGGGAGATCATGGTCAGGGTCAGAGAGGACAGAAACATCAGCATGCTTGACGTATACAGCAGGGCTTTGCGTCCTGCCTTGTCCATCAAACTGGCCGCCAAGACAACAGAAAAGAGTCGGACTGCACCCACGATGGCAGCATCAAACCTGACGCACATGAAACAAAAACAGGACAGTGACTGGAGATGGAGATTTTTACAAAACATTTGCTTGTGACTGACTTTTAAGAAGTGTCCAACCTGGGCTCCAGAGAGACGTTACTCTTGGCAAAAATGGGCTCCAGGTAGACTAGTATGGGTGTGATGCCCGTCATCTGCTGCAGGAAACGCATCCCCACTGAGATCAGGATTGGTCGATAATAGATGGGATTGGCCAGCTGAGCCCAGGTGATTCGTACCTTTGTGTTGATGCTGTGCTGCATTGGTTGAGTGAAACAATACAAATGTTTAGACGTTTAATGAATATCTGCGTTAATTTGGCAAAACAAAGTCCTACATCTTATTCAGTTGCAGCACAAAATTGACATCCACTCATCATGATTGTGACATTTATTTTGAACTTCTAAAAACAAGAATCGGGCGCACAAGTTTGAATTTATTCTCCATAGTGTCCGCATTTTGGACGAGAAAGTTCCAGCAGGACTCAAGGCTGACAAGAAAAAAAACAGTCTGCCTGAAGAAAATCAACAATTGTGGCTTATCTGAATCTGACTCCCCGTTTGTTCTTGGATATGAGCCGAATATCAAATTTCTCCTGGGACACGTGTAACTAGGGAAAAAGCTTTGTCTATCGCAACCCCCCAGTCTGAGAACTTCTGTGCAGGCTTATCAGAACTGTGCCGGCTGACCAACATCTTATCAGGACTATGGCCTAACTATCTGAAAGTGCTCATGGACAAATCTCAACGTCTTGACGTCAAATGCATAAGTAATGTGTTTATAAATGTGCATGCAGGTAGAGATTTTATTTTTTTGAATGTCTCAAATCGTGCCCTTACCACCATCCATCCCTTTTCTATCTAAAGGTATTCTGATAAAGAATAAGGGGCCGCGCTATGATAGCAGCAGCAACGTGCACTCCACCCATCTTTCGGACGACTGTACGAACATAATTCCAGACAGTCTTACATCTTTGAAAGGGTGCAGATCAAGAAAGAAGACTAAACTTGAAGCTTAATAGAAAAAGCAAACGCCTTCTGAAGAAAGGCTTAATGGGTAAATGAGGCAAAGGTTGAGATTTTTGCTCACACTGACAAGAAATGTGTTGGAGGAGTCCAGGTGAGGCTTTTAAACCTAAGATCGTGGTACCAATCATCAAACAAGGAGGTGGTAGTGTCATGCTGTGGTACTGGTGTATTCCACACAAGTGAATGGAATAATGAAGAAAGAGCTCTTCAACTTGACCTCAAATTAACAGCTGGGACACTGAAACTTGGACACATTTTGGTGTTCCCAACAAGACAATTTAGAGGCCAGGTCTTTGCTAGTTTAAATAAACTCCTCCACTTTGCCAAGAGGAGGAGACATATATCATAGTGTTGCACCAATAGCTTGTAGATGCAAGCAGTCATGGGTAAATTTTGCTAATGGGCATTTAACCAAATATAAGTGTGAGTATGTATATCTTTGATTGTCTGTGCACATTTGACCCTGTGGGGATAAAAGAAAATCAACAAAAAATAAAAACTTGTTCACCCAGTTCACGTTTTTTTTTAAATCCTGGAGGAAAAAACACCAAAACAAGTTCAGGTAAAATTAAAAGGCCAAACTTTTCTGACATTCATGCCCACAGGGGTTATGATCATCTCTGACAGAGACTACATCATCAACGCCGCTGAGCATCTGGTACCTGAATGGCTAGGAGCTCAGCTTCTGTGTTGTACTGACTCCCCCTCAGCCAGCGAAGGTTTTTTTCTGCGTGCTGCTCTCGGCCGAGGGAGAGGAGTCTCCTTGGGGAGGAGGGCATGAACGTCAGCAAGATAACCATCAACACAGCCGGCACAGCCCCAGCCACCGCCAGCCACCGCCACGGTACTACCAGACCTGTACATCAAGTAATACAACATTTAATGATGAGTCATTTAAATGCTCACAGCATGACTCAGCGTTAAACAAGAGCTCCAGAAAGCTGCATGACCAGTGGTTTTTCCAGTTCAGATTTAATCATCATCAGTGCCACACTGTTCATTAGTTATTTACTGTTCCAGAGTAAACAACATAAAAGGTCTGAATGTCCACAACAAAGTCGGTTACCAAGAGCGTAGAGTGTCAGGGTCCCAAACACAGCTGTGATCTGAGGGCAGGAGCCCAGAGCTCCTCTGACCTTTTGATGGGAGATCTCTGAGATGTACACCTGTTACAAAAATGCACAAAAGACACGAAGTCAGTCATAACAGCACAGGTGCGCAGTCATGACTTAGAAGCTTTTTTTTTTTTTTTTTTTTTTGTCTAAATGTGTTGTTTTATGTGAAATGTATTTTTGAGAATTTTGCATCAAGTTTTATTTTATTTGTCGTGTAAATTATATTTTCTTACGAGCTGTGAGCACGCCGCGCCTCACAACAAACCGAGCATCACTCTAAACTAGCCACAGGAAGCTTGACGTACAGCGCAAGAGGGATAAACATGGATCAGGTGACTCTCTGATGTAAGCAGGTGATTTTCCAGATGCTCAGTTACCGTGGTAACCTACTGGTATGGATGCTGCAGTCATCCCCCCGGCAACGCCGTTCAGGAAGCGACCCAAATGGAGCATCCACAAGTCCACGGCTCCTCCCATCAGCATGTACCTGAGACACAGATGACAAGGTCAAGGTTTCTTTATTGTCATTCGCATCTCATGTGGTGCATGTGGTGGAACGAAATTGTGTAGACAGGGTCCCAGTTACATCCCACCAAAAAGAGATGCTTACTGAACATTGCTCATGCATAGCAATGAACGTCAGAGGGAATGTCAGGGAAAATTACAGTTTAAAAAATGTATATTTCAAATAATGCAAATGATCCAAACTATTAAAGTTTTGAATATGATTTGAGATGTTATGAACTCCTGACACAGATATGAGAAGACTTCCTCTATATGTTGCAGTCTCCAGAACATCAGTTTGAAGCCAATAGCTTCATTCACCAGTCTGCATGTAGTCATATGTAGTCAGGGGAGTGGTGGCGCAGAGGTTAGAGAGGTGGGCTTGTGATCCGAAGATCGCCGGTTCACGCCCCGGCCCCGACAACATCAAAATTGTGGGTGGGGTAGGTGAAACACCCACACTTGCCCCCACCCTCATTCGCCCCACTCTGGGCCCATGAGCAAGGCCCTTAACCCCACCATGTGCTCCCTAAAACAGGTCTCTCTTGAAAATGAGTTCTCGTGGCTCAATGAGACTAACCTGGATAAATAAAGGCTAAATGAAAAAAAAATATGTCTTTCTGTCACGGGACCTGTCCTGTCCTGTCATTGTCTTACTGAAAACCCAAGTTCTTCACCTCTAACAAATGTGTTTTAGGTTCTTATCATTGGAGAACTGGTGGGCGAAGTTTAGAGCAAGTTCATGACCACCACATCTCTACAGGTCAACCTGAGCTCTTTAGATGCCCCGCAAAATGTTTTCCCCTCTCGGTATGCAGATCCCATAAGCTAACCTCTTTCAGAGTTTTTCTTTAGTGAGGTTGTTTGTTCTTAGACCCACCCGAGGGTCGACGGCACCGCTGACAACATGATGCTCATCTTTCGCCCAATCAGGTCGTTGAGCAGCATAGCCCCCAGCCCACCGCCCGCCGCGCCCAAGGAGTAAATGGACCCAAACCAGGCGGCCTGCACCGTGTCCATCCTGAGCCGAGGGTCGATATCGGGGCTTTTGAACTTGGGCAGGACGGGAGATGGGTAGACCAGAGAGTAACCAAAGTTGAAGTTTCCCAGGACCGCCGAGAACACGGCCAGGTACAGTCTGGTGTTACTGACCTATAAAAGGAGATGAACCCACAAGAAAAATGTACAAATAGTATATTTTAGTGCTTGTCTAATAAAACTTATGTGAACTCAGGGGTGAGCATACAGTTTGTAGATCTTTTAAAATTATGTTTTAGTACAAAGAAATAAACTGTATAGACTTTAGATCCACATCATGTCACCATACACACACATCTGTGACTTTGGCTCATTCTTTTGTAAATAGGGTTCACATTTTTGCAGGAATGCATGTCTTCAAGTTTTGGGGCACTACTTTATTTCCCCTTAGAAATGAAAAACTGTCTCTCTTCTCCATAAATGTGGAAATTAAACACCTGAAAATGTGCTCTGCAGTATGGCAGCACTGATGGGAGCGGCGCTTTGACTTACATTTTTTTTTTGTTCCTGTTGTTTTTGTTTTAACTTTTTTTTTTTTGCACCTACACCGCACACCCACACTACGGGTATGACCGCCATGCACTTCTGGAGTTTTCTGTGTTGTTGCCTTGCAATCCTGCCATCCTGGTTCAGTTTCTGGCCCCCCTCCAGCCTCGGGCTTAGGCTCCGGCCTGTTATGGAAGCTGTCTCCATGATCCTCCATCATCTGCCTGCACAGACTGAACTTCAGAACAGTTCAGTTCTGTGGGGAAACCTTGGCTGTTCTGTGCCTGCTGGACCTGGTTCTGAAGGACAGTCTGGGAGGGCAGTTGCTACAGTCGTTGTTATCATCAAGCTGTTAACGGGACTGCGCTGCTAACAAAACCATGGTGCTAACAGAACTACACTGCTAACAGTACCATGGTGCTAATGGGACCATGTTGCTAACAGAACCTCACTGCCAACAGAACCTCATCGCTAATAGGACCATGGTGCTAACGGGACCATGTTGCTAAGAGAAACTCACTGCCAACAGAACCTCACTGC